CAGGTTGACCAATTATTCTAAAAAGGTGTTTCCATCTCCCATGAAGTTCTTTTTGTTAAGGAAAAGAGGAAAACCACTTTAACCGAGCAACAAATCTGGGATTTTTGTGGGAATTTCGGTCTTTCCATGATCTTTTCCTAATGCAACACTTCCAAATGTTCATAATAACACTAAACAATCTGGCAGGACGAGTGCGGAGACGAGTCAGTTGTTGAAACAAATCCTCCTGCTGCAAATATTCAGCATCACTTTGAAGCCCAACACTCCATCATGTGAAGAAATCCGACGGCTGACAGCCCGTCACGCACGTCTAATCACGGTTGCTCAAGTACAGCAGCCGGGGAGCTTGGCATGGACGAGAGGCAGAAACACAACAACGCTCAGGAGATCAAGTGTCTGTGAGACAGAAGAGTCCAAACAACCCGACTTCTGAATGGGATTCCAGGGAAGTGGTTCCGGTCTCGGGGTTTCTGACCCCCAGCGACAGATTGGAGGCTTGGCTTCGAGGAATGGTCAGCGCAGATCAGAGGGAAGGTGGAACCTCCGGTCAGACAGGAATGTGGAAGCAGGGAAAAAAAAAAAAAAGAAAGAAAGGAAAAGGGGGCAAAGAATAGGAAAAGGCAGCAGCACAAACAGAGGCGTGTAGCGGCGAGGTCTGCCCGGCCTTGATAACCGACGGGCTGCTCCACTCTTCCTGCTCCGGACCTCCTTCCCCTCCGGCCCCCCCTCCAGGATATCCAGCGCCGACTCCATCGAAGCCGGCCGGAAATAATAAGAGACGGGAACAGGCGAGGAAGGGCGACATCGGAAAGACCCTTTAGCTTGTTCTCAAGGAACAGAAGCGCCGTGACCCGATGGATCCACCGTCGGGCTGCTGCTGCTGCACCAACACACGAGCTCAACGGGCTTTGGTGCTGCTTTCCCTTCAAGGTTTGAGTTTATTTTCACGTGTTGCGTTGCCCTGAGAAGCATGAAACAACCTCTGTGGTTTCAAAAAGAAACTCAAAGCTTCGGATTATCTGGAAAAACTGAAAATCACAAAGTTCAGAGAGGAATGGAATGAGCCATAAATCTAATCTAATCAGTGTTTTCTTCTTTGGTTTGGTTCCATTTTCCAGCACATCTCCATCATTTCCCCACTTCTTCTTCCAGTGTTTATACATTTATGAAGCAGAATCACAAAGTCTTTGGATGAACCCATTCCGTAGCTAAATGGACACCATGAGCAAGACTTTGAGTGCCATCAAGAGCTTTTATCTATTCAGGCAACATTCCCATCACTAGCTGGTTGACGTAGCTCTTCTTCCATTGGAGCTGCTCTGGAATAGAACAACTGGTCTCAACTGCAAACGGTTTCATTTGTATAAATCCGTCTTTCAAGTCATTTTCTATGCCATTAGGTCGTCTGTAAAACTGGTCTTGTACCGGTTTAACCTTCTGAACTCAAAAGTATGTTGTCTTTTTGCCAAACTGCAGCATTTATCAGAGCCATAAACTGTAAAAATTTAAAAAGAATTGTCGCGTTTTCAGCTTTCTGACGGTCTTCGAAATAATGACCAACAATGCCGTCAAGAAAGTATCCAATCGGAAGATAAAAATCATGATATTTCATCAAAATGACGTTAAAAATGAGCCTGAGATGAAAATCCAACCTAAATAAATGCAGCATGGATCAGAACCAGTGAACAGAGGAGCCAGTTGGTGGAGATACAGCCAGCATGGAGGAACATCTTTCTACATCTGATGGTGGAACATCTTTCTACATCTGATGGTGGAACATCTTTCTACA